ACTTCACCTTCACGTTACTATACGCGAATGACCACGACGACAATCGTCGAGAGTGGTCATCCTAGCGACGCCGAAAATAGACGCCGTGTTGCTGCTTCAAGCTGCCGAACCCACGGAACTTGCTGAAGCTCTGCCGCTTCTGTGCACTTGAAACGCTGCAAAATCATAAACGTTAGCATCGAATGACGGTCGACGACGACAAGGTGAGGGCGAGTGGATGAAATAGCGTCTTCTTGACGAAAAAAAAAAAAAAACACCACTGAAAACCGAATGGACGCCTAACGGTCTCGGTGCAGCGGCAGATCGCCTCTCGTCGCGAATGGCGCCATTTGTCATTGGTTCATTGTGACTTTCGCGTCATAGTAATGACGACTGCATTTGGACGCGCATAATAGAAATGGACCGTGGTACACTTTACTTTTTATTCTTAGCTTGTCACCGACTATAGTGAACTTTGAAGGCATCTGCCGAGTCCTGCATAGCTTATGGTGGATAAAAATGAAATAAGTGAATTGTCTTTGGGTGCCATAGACCTAGCATACGTAGTTGCAGAGAATTTCATCGAGCCAATGTCGCTAAAATACGAAAAATACATTTCAAGATTTGCTGCGTCACGCGAGGAGATTCCGGCGCGAATTTTAAAAATGAAACTTCAACCTTTTATTTTCTCCCCTAATAATCAACTTATGACAATGAAACTTGTGCCATTAGATTCTCAAAGTGCAGTTTATCGATGTAAACCAAGTTATTGTTCTCTTTAGTGCCCCCTTAAAAGTCCTCGTTTGGCTTTGGTGGTAGCAGTTACTTTTTTAATACATCATTACTTTTAAATGCGGAACATTTATTTGTGTACTGCAGGCACTTTGGGCTTCTACCTACCTATTTACCTATCTACCTACCTACCCACCCACCCACGTCTACGCGCTCTCGTGATCACCCCCTGGGGAAAACCAAAATTAGCAAGGGAGGGTAAGATGGGTTTGACGGATGTGACTCGGTAGTCATGACACGAATATTGTCACAATCCTTTCGTGTACGCCGTCGAACCTTTTTCCGCCAGACACGTGTGGCACATGCCTGCAGGCGGGTATGTGCCACAGGATACAGGATAAACACACGGGTACTGGATCAACGATGTTTTGAAGAAGAAGAAAAGACAGACGAGCAGAGACTCGCAACCGGAAGGATACGCTGCTAGTGGTACTGCCAGATATATCCAATTCTTTCTCTCCCTTCCTCATTCTTGTTAATTTGTTTTATATATTCTGGTTTATCGCATTCTTCCGCAATTTTTTCACGTTTTTTTTCAAAGGAACATTATTATTGTTTCTATCTAATTTCTCTTTATTTTTTTAGCAAGCGATGTAAAAAATGATCTATTAAGAGGTACAGTGTGGCCAATCCCCCATGTGGGTATGAGCCAAGATCTTCTAGGATACAAGACAAGACAAGACTCGCAACTGATTTATTGAAGATGTAATCGACGCTAAATAGCGTCCGGCAAAGGGCAACGTGTCAGTCAGTTTATCGGCGTACGACAAAACGCATACAAAACCAAATTCTAACATGTCCTTACACGTGCACCTGTTAGAATTCGGTTTTGTGTGCCCTTTGCGATACGCTGAAAAGCTTTGACATGTTGCCCTTTTAGCTTCGATTACGTTTTCAATAAATCAGTTGTGAGTCTGCGCTCGTCGGTCTCGTTTCGTTCCTTCTTTGTGTCCCGTCTGCTGCGTAGTTTGCTAGAAGAAGATTACGTAATTTTAACACGTGAGCGTTAAGAAAAAGCTATGTTTACCCGACGAGTACAAAGAATAAATGTTAGGATAGAAGCAGTAATCGAACCCCATGCAGAATTCTGCTTGACATGAACTATTCGACCTCAGAGCCATGCCAGGTCCTGGAACTAGTGTTTCAAATGGACCATATTGTTCGTGAAACGTCAATTGTGGTTGCAGTGCTGGCTATCCAATTTTATAAACATTACATATGTACTATGATACAGCCATCAAGTTGGCTTAACGTCAACTTTAGTTAAGCGCCATCCGTTGATCCGCTGAAGGTGATTTACGTAACAGTGCTCAGAGCTACCATCCTCGCGAGCACCAGTGCTTCACATCAGCTTACCGCGTCTGCTCTTCGTAATATACATGTTGTTGTTTTCATTGTTACGCAATTGTAAACAACTGGTTATATAAAACATATGTGGCTATTTAACGTGTGTCTGTTCGTGCATTTGTACATACCTTTAGCGTCACTTCGTTACGTTTCGCGCAATAAAAATTACAATACGGTCACGTTCCGTCCGCATGCTTCGAATAACATCGACTCTCAAGCTATACTTGGGGTCTGCCGAATTTTTTTTCTGTTCATTTTAGACAAGTTAATTGGATCATACCAAAAGTGGCCGCACTGGCGCACGATGTATAGTTGTAACTTGCTAGAGGAAAAAGTGAGGGTCTGAAGTTTGCCTTTGCGAGTAGAACGCGATAGCGTGATTGGGCCCCGCTCGCGTCGCCTTCTCATTCAGTACCCAGGTTTCGCTTTTTGGTGGAGACTTCAGCCGTCACTGATCGAACGCCTCCAGCTTGATCTAATCTATGGTAATGGGTGAACAATCGGTAACATTGCGTGGTTCTGCTTCTTTTTTTTCCATATGCAAAGGAAAAGAAAGAAAATTGCGCAGCTTGTTTTTGGCGCAAGGGCCATTTATTGGCCAAAAATTGCGCAGCTTGTACAAAGTTGTACAAGGCTGAGTCGCAGCAGTGCTGGTTTCAAAGATTCTTGGGCGTTAATAAGAGCGTGTGCCGATGCATGATCACGATAATTTTCTGCCTATAGTCACACGATAAACGTCGACTATAACAGCTCTGCTGTGAAACGTTCCAGATGGCGTTCGAGACGAGTTCCTATGAACTTTGCCAGTACAGACATTCTCATTCTGGGAGTCCGTTCTTTTCGTCGTATACGGATGCTTGCTCGACCGTGGATGAGTTCGTTCAGAGCGATTTTTCTCATTTCCTTGATGCTGAGAATTTAGTTTTTTTTTTTGCAATTGGAGTTCTTTGAAAACTGGGTACCAGCGAAATACACAAAAAAGAAGCGCGTGCACGAGAAGTCATTGCACACGGACCAACGCTGGACTTGCACAGTTGAAAGTCCCGCGTCCGTCCGGGTCTATCGCCCCCGTGAGCAGGTATACGGACCACGCGTGACGTTGGTCTGAGCCGTCCGCTGTCAAGAACATTGCTCTGACGGAATTTCCGTCCAGAACCCTGTTTGGTAGAAATCCTCACGACAGTAGACAGGTGGCGCAGACCGTGCAAGTATACGGACAGCAATGGGTCTGTACATGTTTGCTCACGGGCGTACCTGTTTCTGTGTATTCGCTGAAGTGGACTGTGCCAACAGCTGTGCTTCTTTAAATGTGAGCCGCTGCCGATCCCCGCTGTGGGTGTGTGCCATGAGTAGAGGAAAACGAAACTCAACCATGCGTTGTTTGTTTTGTGCTCCGGTCCGTCCCCGAGGCACGGCGCACCCGCCCGGACCAGTCCGGGCCCTCGTCGGCCCGCCGGAGAGGTCTGGCCGCTCTTCGTAGAGCGCCAGAAGCCGTGGTGAAGCGACAACTGTCTACCTGCAAGTCGAATGCAAGTCCTCGCAAAGTCTTGCAGAGAAGACCGCGCTAAGCGGTCTTGGACTCCCTTTGTTTTGCTTGCCACTGACACTTGTACTGCCAAGACATTGAAGATTGCAGGCTTTGCTTCTGAAAAAAGTGTGCGGAAAGATGTCGCTTTCGCGCTTACTTGCGTTCGCTTTACTTGTGCCATGGCTGTGGTTTGCGTTGCATAGCACTAGTTACATTTAGAGCGTAAGTGTACACACGTCAACAAGTTGCTTCGGTGGCTTTGTTAGTGCTGTTTTTCAAGCACCTTTACGACAGGGGCTGGTACTTTATTGTGGAAAGCGACCAAACTTATTTGCGGCATCAAGAAATATTGAATAGCAAACAATATATTTGGCCCTTGCCTTCCCCACCATCGCTGACTCTCTTCCTCGCGTTTTGTCTGTTAACTGTGTTACGAAAGGTAGCGGCTCACGAACGGTGGCATGTACAATCGAGCGGAAGCAATTTTGAAAATGCCCGGACCGTGAAGCTCGTCAGAGTGTTACGCCGCAGTCTTTAGCTGTCTTTCAGACTCAGTGTGAAATAAATCCCGCTCACTGAAACACTTCAGTTTTCGTCGACAACCAGAACATTTGTATATGAATACAATTTTTCAAGCTATTGACGCCGCGAATTCACAGCCATCCACAAGGCTGCCCCCTGATGCAGGAACAATGGATTATTTGCAGCACAACTGTGCGAAATCTCCATTTTCTAGAGGGATTCATACAGACTTTTCGTTTTTTGGATAAGGAAGTGAGATCGGCATGCATAAATAGTCGTGATCACCTTTGCTCCGTGACGAGGGTGCACTTGCAGCTCGTACTATCGCTACGTCTTACAATGGCTGTAAATTTTACGTCGGGATAGTGGATGGTATAGCGGGCTTCGTGACATTGGCGTCTGTCTCTGACTACCATGCTTTGCTGTGCTGTCAGCACAGCCTTACGAGGCCTCGATTTTTCAATACTTCCAAGTCAGTCCTTCCCGACCGCCGTCAGTGTTTCCGTCGGCGCTTTAATTCCATGTGAATGCAAGCAAGAATAGCGTAACGCGGCTCTTTCGCGCTCGTTATCGGCCACTGTCTGCACGCGTGCAAGATGGGTCGTCGCAATGACCCGAACAGTTGGCGTCAATCATGTTTACATCGTTCTCGATAAAGAGCTGCACGTTGCGATGATAGTGCGTGTCAATTGTAAGTTCGCCGCTGTATCACTGTGTGTCGTCACTTGAGCGCGTCGATTTGTGCTGGCCGTTCGCAACCTTCGCTCGCACGCAGAGGCTTCCGTGCGTTGGCGATTGATCTGACGGCGTGCTTTCCCGGTTCCCCCTTCAGGTGGAGATGGAAGGCCGTCGGAGCTCGCAGCTCTGGAAGGACGAGGGCAGTGTCCTGGAGGCCATTGACGAGTTGATGGCACCCAGCTCGGAGTTCAGCCTTTCCGACATTCAAGACAAGCAGGAAGCCAAGTCAACGAAGGAACACCAGTATGATGAAGAAGACTACAAGAGTGAGTGTGCTTTTAAGAAAATTTCTGCTTCACTCCCTAGACCTAAGTTGGCGGTTTGGCTGGTTCCTATTCAATGTAACGCAGTGCAGTTGCGAGTCTTTACGGGGACGGAGAGAGGCGGGCGTTTTTTGTGTGTGGGCGGGTATGCGGCTGGAGTCGTTTCCTTTCTTTCCTTCCACTCGCGGTGCGCTGTTTTTATTGTGAGCTGTCACACATATGCCAGTTGATCAGACGTGAAACCGTCGGATGATGACAGTTATGAGTAGCAGTCGACAGTTATGTTGCTGATGCGACTGAGGTGTCCGCCTCGAGCGAATGTCCGCGCTATAAGTTGTGCTCTCTATATGCTGGCAGTTGAGTTTTAATGTTTTCTTGCATTGTACGGGGCTGTGTTCGTCAGTCTTCGCTTCATTATCGCAGCCAGTTTTCCTTGTTACAAGCCTGTGTCACATGACACGGGCAGGTAACAAGGAAAACTACCTGCGACAATGAGACGGGAACTAATGTGAATTTAGTTGCTCGTTAGTTCGCTACTAAGTTTAAGTTATTAAATGCGCAGCACTTCTTGGTGAACTTCGGCGACTTTCAGCGTATCTATCTATCTATCTATCTATCTATCTATCTATCTATCTATCTATCTATCTATCTATCTATCTATCTATCTATCTATCTATCTATCTATCTATCTATCTATCTATCTATCTATCTATCTATCTGTCTGTCTGTCTGTCTGTCTGTCTGTCTGTCTGTCTGTCTGTCTGTCTGTCTGTCTGTCTGTCTGTCTGTCTGTCTGTCTGTCTGTCTGTCTGTCTGTCTGTCTGTCTGTCTGTCTGTCTGTCTGTCTGTCTGTCTGTCTGTCTGTCTGTCTGTCTGTCTGTCTGTCTGTCTGTCTGTCTGTCTGTCTGTCTGTCTGTCTGTCTGTCTGTCTGTCTGTCTGTCTGTCTGTCTGTCTGTCTGTCTGTCTGTCTGTCTGTCTGTCTGTCTGTCTACGACTTTTAGCTCTCCTGGCTGTTTCGATAATGGTATCGATACCAAAATGGCATAGCTTAACGGTATCACGAGCATAAGTGGCTAGTCATAACATGGAAATCATGACGTCATGACTGTCACGATTTACATTTCATGCTCTTGCTGCTCTTGCGGTGGTTGTGTTCACATGACATGTTGCAAAACTGGTATGGTATGGCATTACTGCATGGCGAACAAATTCACATCCTAACGTGAAGATCATGACATGCATGTCACGTAAGTCAGGATGTGCTCGCGCCCTTTTCGATAGCTTCACATATATACCAAATTTGGTATTACGTGACGGGAATGGATCACTAAGGTAGATGACTGGTACAAACGTGATGATCCTGACACTTGTCATGTAAGGACAAGACAATATACCACGCTCATGGTCTGCTCGCGGCGGTTTCGCTAGCTTCACATATACCAAATTCGGTACTACGGGACGTAAATGAATGACGAAGAACTATGACTAGTGTAAACATGATAATCATGACACGTGTCATGTAAGGACATGACAATATACCACGCTCATGGTGGGCTCGCGACTGTTTCGCTAGCTTCACATATACCAAATTTGGTATTACGGAACGTGAATGGATGACGAAGGTGTATGACTTGTTCAAACATGATGATCATGACACACGTGTCACGTAAGGGCATGAAAATATACCACGCTTATGGTGTGCTCGCGGCCGTTTCGCTAGCTTCACATATACCAAATTTGGTACTATGGAACGTGAATGGATGACGAAGGTGTATGACTGGTTCAAACATGATAATCATGGCACGTGTCATGTAAGGACATGACAATATACCATGCTCATGGTGTGCTCGCGGCCGTTTCGCTAGCTTCACATATACCAAATTTGGTACTACGGAACGTGAATGGATGACGAAGGTGTATGACTAGTGCAAACATGATAATCATGACACACGCGTCATGTAAGGACATGACAACATACACGGGACGTGATTGGATGACGAATGTGTATGACTAGTGCAAACCTGATAATCATGACACACGCGTCATGTAAGGACATGACAACATACCACGCTCATGGTGTGCTCGCGGCCGTTTTGCTAGCTTCACATATACCAAATTTGGTATTACGGGACGTGAATGGATGACGAGGGTGTATGACTGGTTCAAACATAATAGTCGCGAACAAATTTAATTCCTTCGATACTGAAACTCGATGGTTTCCTGCGCATATGGTACAAGTGGACGAAACTCGGGTCAACCTCATGAGGTGACGAATGACCTGGCACGAGCACTCGCTTGCCGTGCCGGTCAGACCCGATCCGACGCCCACTACCATTCCGTGGGCTAGAAAGATATATTAATTACTTACAGCGACATCACAAAATAATATTACTTGGGGCGTATGCAGTTACCACTGCCACGCGCGAAATTGAACAGGGCTCAGGCAGTCACGCTACGTTTATTGCAAACCGGAACTTACCCAACTCCGTATTTGTACATAAAGTTCTCCATGACAGTGAAATTCAAGACAAGTGTGACGCGTGCGATGGCATCATTGGGATCAGATACATGCTGGCGGGCTGTCCCGCGACTCTCGCTGACTCCGAAGAACAATGGCTTTACTAGCAGACGATGGTGCGAAGCGTGTCTTATCAAGACCAACTACGGGCAGTACAGAAGGTCCACGATGACGCAACAAGGCTCGGCCTGACGGTACCGACGTGGACGCAGCCTTCCTCGGTCTGAAAAGAACGGACTTCAGGGCTCAAATAAAGTTTTGTGAATGAAATGACACGTGTCATGTAAGGACATGACAATATACCACGCTCATGGTGCGCTCGTTGCCGTTTCGCTAGCTTCACATATACCAAATTTGGTATTACGGGACGTGAAAGGATGACGAATATATATGACTGGTGCGAACATGATAATCATGACACACGTGTCATGCATGTCATGTAAAACATGACTATATGCTACGCGGATAGCATGCTTGCGGCCATTTCGCTAGTTTCACATATATACCAAATTTCTTATCACGTGGTTTCAATAGATGATGAAGGTAAATGACACGTCAAAACATGATAATTATGACATGGAAGTCATGTACGGCATAATTTTCGTCTGTCTCGTATTGTTGTGCTGATTTTAAATGGACATATCAACCTTCCCCATTCGCGCTCCGCATATCATCGGTTTTCACTGTACGTGGAATCTGCCAATTTTTTACGACTGTTTAGGACGGACGATGCAAAACAAAAATAAGTAGGAAAATACTGACGCATGACAAAAGCTTCAGTTCTTCCGCTAAAACAATAAATTTTAACCTATATTGTTTTTACGAAGGAACTGAAGCATTTGTGACGCGTGAGTCGTTTATGCATTTATTTTTGTTTTCCATCTTCTGTCGGCCCTAAAGACTCGTAAATAACTTAGTAGCTACCTAACTACCCATTAAATTTATGGTAGTAATTCCTCTGATAATATAATTAGCTGTGTACATGAACCTGGGTAGTAACAATAATTAACCGGGTAGTAACAATAGCGGCAGTGGTAATGCTTTCTAGAAAAATGGCGACACTTGCGGCTATAGAAAATCTGACATATCCAAGCATCTTGTACGAAGACGCAGTAATCACGCGTTTTTTCGTATGACTGACTGATTGATATGTGGGGTTTAATGTCCCAAAACCACCACATGATTGTTAGACACACCGTAGTGGAGGGCTTTGGAAATTTCGACCACCTGGGTACAGTGTACTAGAAGTGGGCAGTGGAATGAACGAGGCAGCGGCGGCACTGTAGTCGCATGGCATTGAAGATCTCAGGAGCGTCTGCATTAGTAGCGCGCATGTCGTGGACTTCGAAAGTGTGTGATTGCTCGTTTTTAACGCGTTCAATGCGTCTCTAAGCCTTTATCAGCGTATGCACACCTGCTACGCGCCATGGTGCACGAGTGAATATGCAGGCACGCCGAAGTTGCGTCGATACATTCACTGTTTCAAAGGCCTGCCCAGCCGTACAAACAAACAAAAAAAAAACATGTACAATCGTAATATGCACGGATCCTCCTATAGCTTCTCACTCAAGCAGCGGTTTGAGCTGCACTACATCACGAGTGGCTACTGGCGAACTACTAAGAAAGGAGAGGTATCGAAACCGCGATTAAATCATACGCTCGTTTTTGGACAGTTCGCTGCATACAGCGAACTGCACAATACATTAACCGTTCTCTCGGAACCCTTCCCCCGGAGTGTGAGCACGCGGACTACGCTCCGCGGCCAAACGGGAGAGGAGGGGCCTTGAAGACGCCGCTGCAACGCCGCCCAAGTCTCCCCTGAGGAATGAACCAGGTACTTTTTGGTTGGAGTTAAAATCGTTTCCCAGAGCTCTCTTCCCCATGACCGCAGAGCACAGGCGAAGGCTGGGTGATGGGTATGAGGAGATGGTGGTGAACAGCTGGATTGGGCGCATGTATTGGAAGGCGCTGGTGAAATAAACCGCTTATTTTATTATTATTAAAATAGTCGTACCCGACGTATCGAACTTGGGTAAATCGAATCATCGTTTATGTCGACCAATTTTTGAACATATGCCACACATAAATTAACACTTAACACCATGTTCATATATGGAACATCGGGCTGCTCCAAACGTTCCCTTTGCTTTCCCTCTCAAATGTCTGGATTTTTCTCGCTGAATGAGATATTCTCGGGTCCATTTGGGAGAGCGGGCGTTCCGAAACTGCCGCTCGCCATCGTGTGCTTTCCCGCATGATTCCTTGCTCCGCCGCCGGCCCAACGTGCGGGGTCAGCAGCGTTCGCACTTCTCTGCTCGTTCTATTAACGGGTAGGGGCGCCGCAAAACTGAGGAACCCACGGTTTTGCGCAAAGCTAGCGATAATCAATACAGTCGAACGTGGGAAAAAGAAGCCGCTTTGTACAGCGTCCGATGAAACAATATTTTTTTTTTATTGCGATAGCAACTTTATGGACAGTCTCGG